TTGAGGTAGCCAGTTCACGAAATAGTATCGATCGGTAAAAGGTTTGATTATCATTTCTCCATTTGGGCAGGTCAAACTGCATCTTTGAGGTCCTAAAGATGATGGAAATCAACTGTTTGCGATTCGTAATTACACGGCTTACATTCAGTCGGAAATATATCAAGTTTTTATAGACTCGAAAATTCAGAACAACCAAATAATTTCGTTTATTTATTCTTTATATTGACATACACATCAGTCAACTTAAACTGAACTTCATGCTAAAAAAATCCCTTTTTTAATTGCATTTGTATTAACTTTAACTGACATACCTCTTGAGAAAGTTTTCATTCACTTTCTTTGTCTGTTTCATTTATTTTTGAAATATGAAAAATTCACACCTGACGTGCTATGCAGTGATAAAAATAAGCAAAATGCATGATACATCGTCATGCCATAAAACTGCTGAAATTCGGGAAAGTAGCAGGACCAGATGGAATCCCACCGGAAACACTGAAAACAGACTCAGGGACAACAGCAGACACACCCACACCACTACTGCAGAAGGTTTGGAAGGGAGGAAGGAAAGGTACCTCCGACTCATTGGAAGAAGCGCTACCTTGTCAAAATCCTAAAGAAGTGAGACCGAAGTCCTTGCAAGAACTAGCTAGGAATCATGCTCTATCCCTGTCCATCCAAAGCAAAATATTAAGGTGCATCATCCTGGAGAGACTAAAAGATGCTCTGGATTGAAAATTACGACCAGAATAGGCTGGCTGGCTTCAGGAAGAACAAATCAGGTGCCGACCAATTTCAACACTAGACATCATCATAGAACGAAGTATAGAATGGCAGTCAACTCAACTCTACCTTAACTTCATCGATTTCATAGAGGCCTTCGACAGCGTCGACGAAGTAGTAATTTGTTAGTTGCTTCAACACAACGGAGTGCCAAACTCTTTATAAAGCTTGTCCAACAGCTATATGCTATGTGATGCTACATGCCAAGTGACCCACAATGGACAGCTCAGTGATGCCTTTGAAGTGAAGAGAGGAGTAAGACGAGGCTGCCTACTATCATGCATTATCTTTCTGATTGTGGTCGACTGAACTGACCATACATCAAACAGTGAAGAGCGAGAAGAGGGTCACACGCTGACTTCAGCGATGTAAAGCCCAGAAGAAGATTTGGATTTCGCTGATGAAGACTCATATCTAATATCCTGTGGCAAAAGCTCGACGATCTACAGGAAAAAACCAACAAGTTGACAGGAGAGACCAGGTAGAGTAGATGGGACTTCAAGTGAATGTATAGAAGATGGAGGTGATGAAGATAACCAACCAACGACAACAGCATCAACAACATGAACCAGTCACGAAGAACGGCAGAAACCTAAAGGAAGTAGTCTCTTTCACTCCCTGACCAGTCAGCATCGTTACAACTACAGGCGGCACGGACTGGGATGTCAAAACCAGGATCGGAAAGACAACAAGACAGGCCTTCATGAATCTGAAATCAGTGAAGAGATCTACTGTACTCAGCATAATGCGTGAACAAGATCCGGATTATCAACACTAATCTCGGTCAAGCCAGTGTTTCTATATGGTTGAGAGACTTGTCGCGTTACGAAAGACATTTTCAACAAACTACATACATTCGTCAACAACTGCCGAATACGCTCACTCGATACTGAAGATGAGATGGCCAGAATGATAAGAATAAACAACAAGGAACTTTGGCCTAGCAACAAACCAACCAAGAACCTATCACCCAACAAATATGTAGAAGAAAGTGAATATGGATTGAGTATTCACTAAGAAAACCATTCGGTAACATCAGGCGACAGGTCCTGGAGTGGAATCTAAAGGGAAACGAAGAGTTGGGCATCCGTGGCGAGGATGACATCGAGGAGATTATGTGAGAAAGAAATGTGAGGTTGTGGGCAGTCGTGGCTGCAGGTTTTGAAGACTGAAGAGAAAAGAGTGCAGTGGAGGTGTGCTACTGAAGCCCTATATTCCACTAGGAACTCAAGGGATAAATCATAAAAAGTAAATGACTACGTCACGATTCATGCGGATTGATCTTAATTGGTTGGAGGCGGCCAGTAGAAACCTCTGGTTTTGCTAAAGGATGCCTCTCGTGATATGAGTGCTTCAGTGGTAACGTGTGTGACTGCACTATTGAATCTCTTAGAAAACATCAGTTCTCTTGAGTTTGCAGATATGCCTCGTTCACGAATCTCAAAAAGAAAAGAAAATTAAATCAAGACGGATTTCCTAAGGATTCCCCCAAACCATCTAACACACGTTTTCCATGCATAAATTTCGAAAGATATTTTGTGGTCAGTGGTTTTTAAAAGTTACATACGGTCATTTAATACTTGACTCTAGCCAATGATCCTGTGTCTGTAATACTTTAGTAATGAACTTTTTTGAAGCTGTACAGTTACCGGGTTCAATTGGTAAAATTAACCTTTTACTAACTGTTAAGCCCAATACACAAAATGCCAATCCATTAAAAGTAGTCACCCATCTTATGGCATCATCTTAAGAGCTGACCACGTTTTCATACTTTAACCAAACTTAACTCTGGTGAATCATCCACGCTGAGGAAACTACTGCAACTGTAAGCGTAAGATGTAATGAGGCCACTGAAACTGATATTACAAAGTAACTCTGTCTACTGAATAACACTTCCAAATGTGCATAAACAGATACTGTTGATCCTAGACACTGTTCTGACATCTAACGAGAGTAAAAATATGGAGACAGAAATATTTAATCAAGACAGAGAGAATTGTTGAGCAGTCTCAAGTCGAATATAGTCGTTTTTGCAGGCACAATGAGAGACTACTAGCAAAGAAGCGATGAAAGCCTGCAGTAATAAACGTAGAAAACTATCGCACTAGTTCTAAAAGGACCATGGACTGATACGACAGTGGTTTCTTCAAACGATTTTCGGCTACCATATGGGGTTAATACTCTTAAAAATACCCGTGTACGTTTTCAGACTGGTAACATAGATTCATCACCATATGTGAATACAGGAACAGGCTTCCACTATGTATGTTGTACATTTGGATAGTACAAATTTGACACTGTTGTTAGAGATGCTAATGTGAAAGTGATTAAGCGTAATTTGCTCACCACCTACGTCACTTCACAAACAGATGACGTGACACATCTCATAGTGGAAAAGCCTAAATTGGTAATCAGTTTGTAATACTCTTCAGTAGTGTCTTTTGAGACTTCTCAGGAATGCCATTAAAATGATGTGAACGATTTATTTTACACTATTTACGGCATTAATTCTAATTGTATTCAAGCTGTCTGAATCCATATTTGCGTGCAGAGCAAGTTATTGGAATTCATTCAATTACGCTGTATCTATTTTCTAAAAGAAACTATCTTCAAACATTGTAGGATTAAAGATCAACAGAGTGAAGACTGATGAGTAACCGGTAATAAGACTTTTGTAAAAGATGATTATCTCTTACTAAACATTTGTTTCATGGCATAACTTAACATACATGACAATTATATCACATCCTATGTAAACTAAAATATCCGAATTAACTTTTGAGTCTAAGTGAGGAAATAACATCATAACGCTGTTTTGTACCTTTAGAAGTAATGAATGAGAGCAACAACCAATCAACTACAAGGGTCTATCACTACACTGTTCATTGTTTTCGTTCACTGAAATTGCAATGAGGCTACCCCAACATTTTAGTGCATTTTGTCGAATACATCATTATTGAGATTATCATGGTATTGCTCATATAAGGAGATGATTGAAAGTGGAATGAAAACCTAGATGTTAACAGGTTCTAGCCAGTGGTCTATGGGTTTTCTGTATGGTTACTTCCCAACCGAGCTACAAGATCCGACTACTGATCAAATCTTAACTTCACTCCAATCACTAAGGGTTTTCTGGGCTACCATATAAACGCATGATACATGACTATCTGTTCACCGTAATTACACTAACTATTCAGTTAGACGTAGTCAGTAGATAGATCTCGAAGCTCACTAGGTAGAACATCAGGTCGTTAACTCGAAGCCGCTGCTTCGAGTCTTGGCGAGACCCAGGCTTTCATTTTATCTTTAATCCTCCCTCACTCGGTGTCAAATATTTTACTATCCTTTGTGAGCAAGCAGAACACATTTGTCCTCTCTTTGGTTTAACTGGTAAAGTCTTAGAGGTAGCAAGATCAAATCCAAACCTAACAACCAGGTGTAATAGTAGTAGATAGAGTCAATGGTAGTTGAAACCAGCAACCGCTGCCAAATATTCAGGTCAGGGATATGTTTCCATGTTGACATTAACTGTTTACTTTGACAAAACTGTCTGTTAGTAATGGAGTGAGCCAAACACGATTAAATCTTTCCATTTAAGATATATGGGTAACGGTTATCCATGAAATATACTGAATTTATAACCAGAAAGCAAAGTTTAACTAGTGTTTACCTCATGGACGAAACAAACATTACACAAAGCTATGTTCACTCAATTTTTATCACCAACAAAAGGAAACATATATCTCAATAAAAGCAAACAAACGCAAGTTCAAAATAAACAAGAAAACACAAACAAAGTATCATTCAACATTGAACATTAGGAATAACGGCAAGGAGATTAAAGACAAATGATTTTAGATATCAGAAACAGAAAAATAATGAATAAAATGTTCCCATTGTGTTTTACTCACAAGAAAGCAGACACGTGAAATGACTATGTGTAAATATATACTCATGTATGTGTACTTTATCACAGCTTAATATCTTCAGTGATATGAAGCCCAGCACAATGGGAAAACAAAGCAGTTTGATTTATCACAATAAGGAAGGCAAAAAGAACATGGATGAAGACGAATATATTTCATTTGTCAACAAATGTAAACACATCTAGTAGTTAACCGGACAAGGACAAACACATACACAAGCATATATTGGAAACAGGAAGACACAAACAAATGTTGTAGGTTACTTCAGAATAAATTTGAAGCCAGCATAAGTGATCACTTATTTGTTAGATTATTTGAAATCTCTTCTGTTGTTTGTTTTTCTGTACCTTCAACCTTTTCTTCTGGAACCTGGAAGATATGTGCCAAAAATAAAATTCTTCTAGTTGACCGAAATCAAAATTCAACAATTATTTGACACAAGTTAGAATGTTTACGTAAAAGTTAAGGGGATAACTAACTAACACCGAGATCCCATACTGACTGCCTTCCCGCAACGGTGACCTGCTTAAACCTTGGGCTAATATAAATTTTCTACTTAGTACATTTCATCAAATTGTTCTCTTTCAATTTGTTGGAATCTTTCAAATATCACTTCTAAACGTATCATATACTCTGGCATATTTCAAAAATGTTTTCAACCAGCAATTTTTCACGTTAACACAACAAAGAAGTAAAAACGCCAAAGTCAATGGAAACTTACTTTTAAATACACAAAAATTAAGCACATTACTATGCCTAGAATGGTTAACTTGAATTGTTCATTTTTGTACTGGCTGAATGAATTACCACTAACAAAATTACACTCGATTTTCTATTCATTCTTTATTTCAGACCGGAGACTAATTTAACACCAACTGGCAGTTTCACATTACTGGCTTTAATATTGTTAACGTTGAAATCTTTCAGATTCAATGATTATTTCGTTTAAAAATACTGTAGAGAAGTTGAACTTGCTCAAATATTACATGCTGAGAATTCCATAGTGTATATAACATGTTTTTTGAAACAAAGCAATTAGTATCATATCATTGTTGGATAGTGGCTAACAGTGGAATCCAGGACGTGTGTTTTATCCTGTTTGGCGCTCGTCAGGTGGATGTACCTGCCCCATAACGAGTGATATTCCCACTGAGACTCAAACCTGAGACCGATCAGTTCAAACGACAGATCGTTATCCACTAGATTATCGAGTCACGGTAGCCACTTCTTATGCGATGGGTAGTTCTTATGTTGTTGCTTGTACAATCTACCGAGTACAAATTCATCGTTTTTCAATGAGCCTTTTGTTTGAGTTAGCCTTATAATTTACACATGTTATCAGTGACAAGGGAGTCGAGTTTATATAACGGATTTTGTTTTCGTTTAAGGTTACATGGTTGATCTAGATACGCTTTAAGCGCTTATTGTTGCTCCTCCATAGATAGAAATGGCTAACATTTTAGTGAAACAAGGTTCATGTTGACAAATATTTCGGCATGTAGTTTCTCATTTTCTCTTGATTGGATGAACAGGGTGAAGGCCGAACTCAGAACCTGCAGGTTTCACACAAACATGCTACTATTGACCCATTAGGTCAAAGTCCAATCATACACATTCTCTTACTTCTATCAAATTGCGATATAGCGTGACCTTTTTCCAACCCCATGTCTGAGTATTTGTCCTCATGTCCTACTTTATTTGTCCCACCGGTCACGATTTCTTCTTAGAACTTCGGGAAATCTCATCTTGAGGCGAGTTGCTAGTGAACATTAGGCAGTAAATCAGTTCGTAGGCTTGTGGGGATTGACCTATTTCAAGGCGGTATTCGCCACAGACTGATATCAGTTAAATAACCATTGAAAACATGGAACACTAGACAGCTGTTTCATTCTAGCATGGGACTTCTTAGCAGTGCGTTCAAACTGATGTCAGTCTGTCGTGGATACTACCTTAAAATCAATCAGGCTCTACAAACCTCTAGAAAGAATTACTAATATAATTGTTATTATTAGTCACTTATTTAATCCACACCAATATAATACACATAACAGCACCCATGTTCAAGTATTTGTCCAGTATGGTGCTGATTACAGTTGTTGCAGTCGCTTTTATAAAAAATATTTGATTCCTCTTCATTAGGTATTGCATACTTTAGTCTGTTTCATATAGCACGGAGAGAATTTGGGGCTTGTGGGGATTGAGTGATCCATTTTCAAGTCGGCAGTCATCATGGACTGACATTGGTTTGAGGAACTCTAGAAATTAAGAAGCACTTGACAGCTGTTTCGCCCTAATATGGGACTCCTCAGCAGTGGCCAGTCATGACTCCGCTGTGGATGTCGATCCATGATAACTTCCAGCTTGAAAAAATCATCAAATCCCCATAAAATCCGAATTCAGATTATTTATTGCTTATTGCTGACTAGCTTTGAGAGGTGACCCCAGAAGTCCCAATGAGGAGTCGTGACTGGTGTGGCAAAACTGGTGGCCGTGAGCACAAATACTCAACGACGACATTGAGTGATGTTTGCGGTATGTTGTGAACTGACGGAAGATGGAAATATGGACCATTGCATTCCAACCTAGTGGCTCAATGTTAACGTGCTGTCCACGAGACCTGAAGGTAGTGTGTTCGATCCCTGTCGGCGTGGGGCCATGGGTGCGCAAGGTTGAAGAGTTTCAAACCAGGACGTAACACCTGTCCAGTGCTCCGGGGTTTCCAATGTTCCTCTCACCGATATCAACCTATGATGAATTCCAACGGAGAGAATTTGTCGGTTAATGAGCTTCCCCGATTCCAGACGGTCCTCTTAGTACTATCGTGACCTCTGATATGCTGTTTGTGTGCATCTTTTGATTTCCATGGATGGTTTTGAAGTTATCCTCTTTATAAAGTTAATGCTGAAGATGTCACCAAGCATGGTGATGAGACGTTCACGACAAAATATCAAAGCTCTAAGAACACTGAACCACCATCAACCTCATCCTGAGCTGCAGATCTTTTGCATCATTTCAATATAGTACAAAGTTCGTTTTGAGCATCGCAGGAAGCGATTCATTTCTGAGTCACAAAATGGTGCTAAACAGTTTAATGTTGCTTTAAAATAGAATCACATTCTTTGTTCTATCTATTTTACCATACAAATGTCACTTTTAAGGCATCCACGATAAAAAAAAAGTCGCTTCATATTAACAGAAAGAAATATGAGAAACATTTATAAATAATGAGAAATTTCAAAGTCTCACTTTTACTTCTTTCAACTTCGGAATCAGCACAACTTTACCGATATTTTTTCTCTCTTGTAAACGCATCATAGCCTCTTTAGTCTAGAAAGAAAAAAAGCTGGATTTAAAAGTCTGTAAACCGTTCAAAATATGACTAGTTGCGGTTGGTTAGATTAGACAGTTGATTTTCAACCGGTAGGTCATGGTTTCAAGTACCACTATCCCTACGCAGGTGTGGGGAGCCAGGCGGCACCACTAGCCCTCATACAATATGTGTGGCTCTTTGCCTAGTACAAGAAAGTGTAAAAGGTGGTTGAGTGCGTTTCGTTTCATTTTTCATTTGACAGCATAAAGCGCATGCTTGAACCTACATTTTGTACACTCCTTTTAAGATTTGTTAAAATTGTTTGACAACGTGGCAATAAACTGAACATTCAAGTTACGTCTTAAATAAACCTAATTTTCTTCGTACTTCCAAATACCCCTTATAGAACAGGAATGAAAATAATTCAGGAAATATAAGTCGTCACTTTGCATCAGTTATTGTTTGAGCAGTTATGAAAAACTGTTTGAGCATACATTAGATTATGGCGGATCGGTATCCTTTTCTCTCATCGTTGATGGGGATATATAGTACTTGCTTTTGCTACAGCGAATCAGCTGACGGCCTCTTATGATTGTCTTCATCCGGTCCACCTCCATATAACGTGCAGGACAAATGATTAAAGTCTTCTTTTACAGTACTGCACAATCGATATAAACCTCATGGTTATTCTCATTACTATGGCTTTCATATGCAATAAAAGAGCTGAACACATTCGTAAATTCCTTTAGCTTTTCAGTAGTGCTATTTGATGCCGTACGCTAAGTTCTTCTTAACGCATGGCTCCTGTGCAACTGGATCCGGTCTATACGAAGTTTTCCTGAATTCGTATCACTTTCGTGGAGGTTCTGCTGTTCCTTTCCAGATACTGCACACCAACTACGGAGAAGTTAACGTTTTTGCATTCATCAAATATTCTTTTCATCTCAAACGCTACGTTGGTGACATATGGACTTTATATTCAACGTTTCACATGCGACTGTTGTAGTATCTGTTACCATGCAAGCACAACGGGGCTGCTGCCTATCGTCTGTTGTGCGATTGTGGAGAGAGAAGAAAAGGGGATACCAGGATTTTTCAAAATGATATCTGCACTGAAGAGTACAGTGAAAGCAATGTAACCAGCAATGTTTTCAAGTCATTGAAGTATGAAATCATCTAAGAAATTTTAGATATTTAGAGTCAAAGTACTACTGATAAAAACCTACATCACAAAGTCTTTGTTTTCAAAGGAAATTGCATTGTGATTAGGATTGTCAGTTAATTCAAATCATTGTGATATTTAAGGTGTTTCGATGCCACTGACTCTCACCCACAGAACATTAGCTAATTTTCTATCTGATGAAAAGCATACAAATGTGCATAGAAAATGAGGAAGGTAGCACTCATCAGCAAGCATCAAAACCTACATTCAGAGCTATCTGCCGATTGTTTCCAATCATCTAAGGTCAACCAAAGTGTACTGTGACTCTAAATCTCCCAGTTCGGTGACAAAATTACAGAATGACGGTAGAATTCAGTGAGTAGTTACGATTAGACATGATGAAATGGGTTACTCTCTAGTGACTAGTCAGTTAACAGGTAAAGCACTTGATGCGTAACATATCTCTACACAGAGATCCAGTGAACACGTATGACAACCTTAAACGATTTTTAACACTTATGGTACTTACCATAACCTTTTTAGGCAGTAGTTTTAGATAGTGAAGAGTATGATGTAAGCCAACTCATTGTAAATGTAATAGTATGGTAAGCGAAAGTGGTTAGATATTTAATGAAAGCGATTTCCCCACAGAATTATAGAACAAGTCGTGGGAGAAAATAAAAGACTATTATTACCCAAAATAATCATGGTATAAGGCGAAAGTGTACATTATTTTTTGAACACAAAGGTCGGGTTAAAGGCCGCACAATCATAATGGTCCGACCATACATAAATGGATTATTCAAAGTCTTTTTGGGTTAAAGGGAGACCCTTAATTTCTTTGAAAAGACAACTGACAGAGGGCAGTTGTTCAGAAATGATAAAGTGTATGAGACTAAAACTATTGATGTTCCTCTTCTTCCCTTTGGATTACCAAGTTGCAGAGTACTTTGACACACGTTTACGAAGTTGTCACTGAGAGCAACCAGTGTACTTCGCTCCGTAGGAACAAGTGGACTGATAGGTGTACGTTAAGCTGACTGAAAGTAGTATTCTGTGCCAAATGCATAGATGGATTAACTGTCTACAGGAAAATATGATTCTTATGCGGAATATATGGGAAGTGTTCTTCAAGGATCTGAAAGAGAGGTTTTAGCTGCAATGTCACCTTTGAATTCTAGGTTCTTGCAGAAGGTTTATTTTAATTTTATACTCTCCATAACTGTCATATATGTAGTATTTTCGGGTCCATAGATCTAAGTGGATAACTATTTTCCAGTAGAATATAGCGATCAAATTTTAACTCACTGTCTGGTGTATTATCACAGCGGACCTAATGAATCTTTGAACACAGACGACATACAAAGTTATTTTTGTTGCTGAGAGGAGCATATCTTTGGAAGTTGACAGGATATGCCTCCCATGTTGGTTCTCTGTAGATCGATCTCTAGATAGAATGGTTCGATCTTCTTGTCAACAACCCATCGTGGAGTAGAAACGCTGAATTCGCTTCACACTCTGAGTAAAGTTTGCGCTTGAACGAGTACCACTGAAAGTGTTGAGCAAGTTGCTGATGTCAAATTTCTCATGATGCACGATAAAAGCATCATCTTATATTCACAACCTTTTGACCAATACCAAAAATAAGTTTGACGAAAGTTAATAAAATACACTTTGTAGGTATAAAGACAGGCGTTAGGCCCTACTCTTGTCATGAATGTCTTTCTGTCACATGCCACAGTTCTAATTGATACAAAAAGAAGTGCATAATGATCGTAAACTGTAGACAAAAGGAAATACACTCAGTTGTTTGCTCTTCCCTAAAGTTGGTTCATAGGTCCCATATGATATCCTACATATCTGTAGAGTTGAAATGGTATAATATTTTTGTCCTGTACTTGTAAAGAAGAGATAGACGTGTTTATTCACTCAAATGATGGACAATATCCTCAGTTGTTTTACTAGAAGAAAATCTGAAAACTTTTTATAGAATAAAAACCTAGCTGTTTTTATAAACAGCCTTTTCCCATATCCCATCTCTATTTCTAGCGCAAACGTCTATAGCTGATAAATTCAGAGTGCAGGTTCACCTACCTGGGATGTAAAAATAAGCTAGAGCGATTCTTCGAAATAAATTATATTATTTGTACTGAGTGATGACTAAAAGGGAAATGAAAACCTAAGTTGCGATAGGAATCGAAGAAGTAGCTTCCACATTACCACTTCATTCGCAACCCACTGCTGCTGACTAGTACTTAACTTTCCATAACTCACCGAGTGTTCCACCCAGAGGTCATGTGGTTGGCTGATGCATAACTATTTTGTTTATCCAAATCACATTAACTACCCGCTTAAGTCATCATAATACAAATCAAGCTGAGTTAAATAGCGTTGTATTTATTGTTCACTTGGCTATATGAGATAACTGTGGTTTAGCAGGCTGATTTTAAAACAGTTTTAAGTATAATTGTAACCATAAAACGTGAATTATAATCTAATATGACTTATGTTAGTGAAAATGAATCATAATAGTAATAGTTATACTGTAAAAGCAGAATTATCTTACTTCATCTAAATACCATTGACTATCGATCCATGGATCAATTTTTTGACTATCAATTAATTTTGTTAATTCATTCCAAACTTTAAGAATTAGCCTATTCGTGTCATTGTGATTTCGATCACGAGAGAAAAGAAAAGATTTCAATGAGAATCCACCAAGTACTAAGTTCTCATCGTGTAGCTTTAATGGATTGATACGTTCCATATGAAACCACTAAAATAGAGAAGAAGAAAACAAGATTTTTGTAAATCGTCAATTTTTCAGAAATAATCATTTGGTTAAGTGAATCGATTGTCTATTCAATAGGTTTCTTAAAGCCTTATTATAATAGTGTAACTGTGACAGACAAATATATCAGTAGGTAAAGTTACAAAACAATATTGGGTTTTCAATGAATTAGTTTGTGATATAGTTACTCAGTAAAGTAAAAATTTTACGTAAATTGTGTTTGGTCATTTTACTCCGTATCATCTAGCAAAACATGTAGCTGGTTTCATGGCTAATCATCATTTGATCATTAATTATTATTTCACTTTCAAACATTCGACCGTTCAACTACCACAACTACTGAAAAAGTTGCCCAACCTGTGGATCAAACGTTAAAGCTTTGAAAACACCAAACATTTGTGAACCATGTTAATTAAAAGGAGCTAATGGATAAGAGGCCTTGGATCTAGGTTTTGTGCTTTCTGACACTCGTCAACAAGGTTTGTCTGCAACCTCAATGGAATTGGTGTTTCTTCCAAGATTCGAACTCGCGTCATACATTGCTGTGGTTGAAGATATTGCCACTGAGAGATTCGGGTCACGACTGACCTCTTGAAGGACTGGATTGAGTACATTGTTCATATTATGAACTTTAGTCTACCTTAAGTTTATTCATGCATAAACACTGTTCACTCAGTTTATTTATCGATTAAATATTCATCATAGTCTTCAGTCCGTATTAGGAAAACGACATAAAAGTCGATGAATATGCCATGGGTATGAGGTTCAAGTCTCAGTAGGAACAGCATCACCCACTGGGGTGTTGGTACATTTGGCTGACGAGCCCCAAATAGGATGAAATTAGCTTTCTGAATTCTTCTGGTAGCTACAACCAAGTAGATTATCACAATTAATATCCAGGCAATATCGAGGCATCACATAGGAGTTTATATATTCAAATAGAGGTTTAAAAATTCGATGCAGTAAAACAACGGAGAATTATAAGTATATCAACAAGTAGAAATTTTGAGGAAGATTACATAAATTATGTGTAAATAAGGTTATTAGATTTATGTTAGCTAAGAAATATGCTGATTATAATTCAGACAAACAGGTCAATGGCGTGAAATGGAAAACAAATAAGTAAGCAAAGCAACAAACGATAATAAATCGACAGTTAACTGTTTCTTTATGAATACATAAGTTACGTTTAAATTGTTTAATGGCTACCATTTCAGCGAAACGCAAAATATTTGAATTCACTTGTTAACTATTTATTTTAAACAATTTCTGAATATTGACTTCATGTCCATATCAATAAATAAGATGACAAACAACAGCCCTGTTGAAGATTTTCCCACCTCTCACTTGCAAAAATGTTGGAATGCGCTTAGACATACAGTCAACAACCTTTTCTTATGTTCTTTCAGTGTATACCCTTTGGCAAGTATATGTGAATTGGGATCTGTCAACTTTTGATTGTCTCAGTAGGCAATTTCTATGTTAAAGTGCGATTAATACAGTAGCTGGATAGGTTCTCTTCAAAACAGTATCCATTCTTCAACTGATTCTTCTAGAAATATCATTATTTTTGAAACGAAGATTTGAGAAAATAAAATTCCTTTCTACTGTATCACACTTTACTGTTTTAGTTAGTGTATTCTTGTGTTTTCTAGTGAATTTCAATGGATGCCCATTATCCTTTCCCAGTGTCTCTTTAGAACAAAGTTACCATATGCGATTCAAACGTGTTTTCAGTAGTCCATTCTTATAAAGAGTAGAATTAGAAATGAATGAAGTTAAGATACATTCCATTCCACTCTATCGAACGGATTCAAGTATGCAAGTATGTTAAAATTCATCTAGGTTGTAAACAGCTTATGAGATACTTCGAAATAAAACGTATCCTTCCTATTCCACCAAAACTGCGGCTCTCGCTCTATTTAGAATCAAGAAACTTAACTTATTTGCACAGAAAACACTTGTCTAAATACATTCTCTTTATTCATGTAATAACACTGATGTGATGTAATTATCATGAACTTCAGTCAGTTTCATATGTGTATAGGAATGGAAATTCTGTTTAGTTTCATCTGTCTCATTCATTTTCTGTTTTCTTAGTTGAGTTCACTGTCTGTGACATTTTATTTACAAGGCTGCTTTTTGTTCAAAATCAACGCAGAACCTCCTGCTTGGATTCAGCGAAGAAAATCTTCTTCGTCTTCGCTGACCGGTTTTCTCTTTTCTTCCGTTTCAATCTCCTTTTGGTTTCACATCTACTGTCACATTATTTATCGACACGTCTATCAATTCAGAGTTTGCTTTATACCACATCAAAGTACTCGGTTATGCAATATCAGTATAACTCGCAGTTTGTTATATGTATATTTTGATGGTTGATCAGTAGGGTGAAATTAAGCTCTAGTCATCAACTGACTCTACGATACCCTCAGTTGGTAAAGCACTTGGTTGGTAACCCGGAGGTCAGTGTCCGAATCTTGCCACAGATCAGGTTTTCATTTTATCCTCATTCATCCCACAGTATCAAAATATATAATTATTAACCAAGTGCAAACATCTTAAATGTATGCTGATGTGCCTCAGAGTTTCACACTCAAGAGCTGAGGCTGATGACCCACTAGTAAAAATGTGTATTTCTTTAAATCAACTTTCTTCCTAGTATTATTATGAGAATTTTTTTGACAGATGTGTCTCCATTCTAGTCGTTAGGTTATGTCAGCTACTTTCAACTACTTGTTGTTTCATGCCGTCTCTGGTGTTGTTGTGTTTCTTTCCTGTTGTATTTAATTAAAAAGAAAGTAATGAAGTACATTAGATTCATTATATTCTACGGAAAGAATGTTTCCAATTTTCACTGAAATTCATCGAACAAATCAGTTAGTTAACATTTTAACACTAACTATTGGTTAACTTAGCAAGTTATTCTTTGTAGTTTATTACTTACATGTTTTGCTAAATTCAAAAAATTCTTCCTATCTCCAGTGACCAAATTAGACATACCTATAGGAAGAAAGAAGATCATAAGTGTAAAAATCCAAGAAGATGGCTAAAATCGAATACAGCAAAATGTAGCTACTTTATACTTTACAGATGTTCAACAGGTACTCAGTTACTGCAAAGACCTACTTTCAGCAGATGTCTAATAATTCATTTCTTTGGTCTAGCAACATACAGTTCATCTTTACAAGAAGATTCTATTTTAAGACTTTCTAAAGAGATTGATCAACATGGTGATATTATATCCAGTTGACTGACAGTCTTATTAAACTGAATAAGCGTAAAATGGATATTTTTCCTCTCTTACGGATAATGTGGACCTACGCAAATTAGTCACCAGTGAATGAATCATGCAGCTATACAGTCCACAGCACTGCTCGAAGTGTATAGCTTTGCAACGTAACCACTAAGCGAAGTAACGCGACATTCCAATGAACTGTAGTTATGCGCTGGATGATGTGAATCAATCTACAGGAAGCCCATTCACACCAAGGTTTTGCACTTGCTGGTATTCATTAACTACGCATAAAGGGAAATGAAGCTTTCCCTATGGTTCAAACCTGCTTCACTCAGTACTAAAGTCAGACAGGTATGTTTACTTGGAAAAAGATAATTTCAGATATGATTCTGAATTACATTCTTAATGGAAAAATCCGAGTTTTTTTAAGCTATTAGAATAAATCAGCAGAAAAGCCTTGGACAATTTATTTTCCTTACCCTGAGGAAATTTATTCTGTTTCAGATATTCATACCATCGTCACTCACTGTTACGGTTAGAGGTGTTGTTAAAAGCATATATGAGGCTACAGCAGATTTTCTCAGAGCTGCAATAACCACACTAGTTACGTGCTGGTAATTAACCAATCTTCCATCACATATCTAGTCCAACAATCTGATTGAGTTGTTTTTAGTAACTTACTATGGAGTTTTATATGATCTCCTTCAATATCAGTAAGCATTAGAGTCTAGAAATATACGTTTTGTGTATCTTCATCAATTTTTGTTTGAAAACCAATTATTTAGTCATTATTGTTTCACTATATTAATTATTGAAAGTGAAAGAGAAGCTGAACTCATTCTCTCAATGGTACATTCATGAGTGCAGAATATTCTGGAATAATCTTCGATTAAATTTTAAAATAGACTGGATAAAAAGAAAATTTACTTAATGCCCATCGGTAAAAGAAACAAAATGGAGTTAATAATTAAGCTTACTTGGATCATAGGAGAAGTATCTAGAATGTTCAATCCTCTGTGGTGACCATGGTAAAAAAAACTGTTGAGCGTGCTTCTTCTGAATATAAACTATTGGTTTGATCTTTTGAACTGTGAGTGTCACAGAATTATTTTAGCATCTTTATAAGGGCGTAGGTTAGTAGTTCAGTAAACAAGTGGAATTCCTGAGTAGACTAAATACTGGAAATTGCATCAGATTTGCATAACTTATGAGACGTTTGTGTCTAAAAGGCACTAAGTCTGTCTAGTACTTCTAGCTTACCGAAAGCTTTCACTGTTATCTAGTATGATATTTAAAGTTTTCGTAGACGACAAGTGACGATAAAGTCATTCTTAGTTCTTTAATATGTCAATATAACTTTCCTATGTACTAACTGGCTGAAGTAGACTTTTCATTTAAATCCGTATTTATATTTCCAGAGGATCAACGTTAATCATACAAAATTATATGAGGTCCATTATGGCATCATATCACTTCAAATAATGATATCACCATTGGAGTTTATCTATCCCTTAAGACTCAGATGTCAACAAACTACGACCATTCATTGAAAAGTATTAATAGCAAGAAGTGGATGTGGTAATATTTAATAAAAATTCAAGTAGTCATTCTCAAAGTGACAGTTAAAATTATTAAGAATATCATGTGAATAAGACGGAATAGATGCAGGTTATTGGAGTGGGGTTGTGAGTGCTGAAGAGTTTCATACTGGGACAAAATAGCTGTCTAGTGCTCCCAGGTTTTTAGTGGTCCTTTTTACCGATGTCACTCCATGATTAATAATAACTTGGAATCAATAATGTCAGCACACTTCTAAATTGAATATTTCTTACCATAAATTATATGCTTTCCAAGAGGTTTCAATACTCCATACAGTCTGTTTGTATCTGGACCACTTATACAGTCGAGGACTACGTTAATTCCATGAGGGTAAAGTCTGTAAAAAGACATAAATTTCAGTTAACTGATGATGAGTAGTAATTTTTAACTTAATGTTACTAAAACTAAAAAAACGTGTATTAGCCAGGAAAAATAAACAAAGCTCTTCACTTTGTCCCAAAGAAAATATTTTCATCAGTCTTCCGTATAAATGTGACTCTCTTAGTTCATCCCTTAAGCGAAGACTTAACGCTGCTGTTAGAGTGATTTACTATGCCCCTAGGCTTCAGCTAATAGAAATCACAAAGCCTGTATACTCTCCTAAATCTACACAGCATGTGAACGGCAATGTCACATCCTTATGCACCTACAAATTCAAACCTACGTGTAGTGGCGCATACAAAGGGAGGATTCTTAGGTCTATACAAGTAATGGCCTCGTAGTGTATTCCGGAGTGGTTTCAGAAACAAATTGAATCGCCGGAACCTACAAATATTGGCAGCAGATGTCCAAGTCCAATCGCAAAACATATCGCTGAGATAGTTGACAGAATTGACGTTGCTGCTTCCTTTAGACCTATTCACAAAACGCGTTGTGGATCATTAAATTTGTTGAGGCCCTAGCTGTTAGGAAGTTTAAACCATTTTTGTATGTTCAAAAACAATTTACTATCACATTAAATCTTCCTTACTGAGTTCAAATTCGAAACCAATTTAAATGTACTATTATTTTCGCTCTAATGATTCTCATTGTTATTTTGGCCCTTACTTCAGCCCTCCCACCTGACCTCTTTTCATGTTCTCACTCACTGTCTTTATGAATTTTCACATAAATGTATGAGACAAGTGCGGCGAAATAAGTTCACCACTGGGCCTTTTTCTAGCGAACATGTTTTATTGTGCAACTGGAAAGTGGAGAACTGCATAACACGATAGATAAACCGTCCTTCTATTGTAGATACATGGACGACACTCATTCTGTATAAAAATGATATTAATCCTGATGTTCTTCTCGGTATATACAACAGTACTCATTCGGAAATCGAGTTAACATGTTAAACAGCGAAAAACGGATGTCTGCCACTTCTGGATGCTTGGCTATCAAGACGGACAGATGGCAGTATTAGACACATTTCTTATTGCAAGAAATCATGGGCCGATCAGTATACACGTTCCCAGTCATTTTTCCCTTTCATGTGCAAAAGGAATTTAATCCGTAAACTGGCGTTTGGAGCCAGTAAGACATCCACAGCTGACACTTAGGACGATGAAATAAGAATAATAGAGAACTTCTCATACGAAAATAGCTGTCCCATACCTACGCCTCCAATTGCTAAGTATAGCAGAAGCCATAGGAATTAAAATTTTCAAACGTAATTTATGTATTCATTTCACCTTCAATCATAACCCATTATCGATATTAGTCTGCCAAACCAGGGCTATCTCAGATGGTCAGAATGATATTCGGAAGATATTTGTTCGTTCTCATTTCCTGTCACAGCCTTCAGCTTCAACCCAGATACAGTTACAATAATTTTTTTTCCGGTCATTTAGACAAATGCAAATATTACCTCTGTTTGTACTCTTCTCACTATCACTCTATTTTTGCCCTTAGATTCAGAATTGATCAATAATTTTCACATTTTATTATCTAATGGCTATACGACAGTAATTTTATTTTCTTTATATCTCTTCACATATACAATCCATTATCACTTTGACTATCTGAGATACCCATCGTTTGCCGGACTGATATTTGTACAGGGTGGTGATTGAAGGTGAAATGAAAACCTGGACTTCGACTGGATTCGAACCAGCCACCACTAAGTTTATAGCTGGATGCTCTACCAACTGAGCTACAAGGTTTGACTGTTGACCAGATTTTATTCCACTGCAACCACCACTGGTTTTTCCCAACCACCATATGCACTCGTGAAGTGTTACTATCGCCTGATCGTATTCCCACTGGCAGCCTAGTTAGGGCTCCTCACATTCCCATACCTACAAGGACTGAGTACTGAGAAAATATAAACATTCCGGGATTCTGTTTCTGCTATTATCATCGTCAGTGTTGTTTTCTAATTCATATAACCGAATTAATTCAACCATGTCAGTATCAAATGACTATGCGGAATAATTTATAAATGTAAGTATAAAGCCTGAAGAAAATTTACGGAAAACACATAATCGCTTCAAACTCTATTTTCTGACAAGTACACATATGATCAGATTGTTCAAAATTTATATTACACGGTTAAGACAATTTTCATCTTATTGTTTTGTCGAAGTTTATAAGAGGAAATAACTGTTTTCAAAAAATGTGTATAATTGCGTTACATATTCAATTCAAGCCTAATTAAAATAAATCCACGATTTTATCCCCAAAAATAAACATGACATAAACCTAAAAAGAGTAAAGCAGTAAAGAAGAATTTCTATGCTTATTGTAAAATGGAAAATTAAAAAAATGTTACACAGTGATAATGAGGTATATACTACTCATTAGAATATACATAAATGTACGTAGCCTGGTATTCATACAGCAAATAATAACATTGACTAGAGATTCTGGAAGAACAATGAAACGTATAGAAATCAAATACAGATGACAAGTGAGGAAGCAAATTAAACTGGAATGCAATTCACTACGGATTTGTAGTGCAAATACAATGCATTCGATTTCCATCGACTGCATAACTACCGAGAAAGTATGTCTAAAGAGTTAAAGTAATTCATATCGTCTAACCCCTTTCATTTAACGTAGCATAGGCATTTAGTAACTGATGCATCAGTTGATTTTAAGTGGAAACAACTTCATCTTATGAAACTATTCCACACTTTTTATGGTTAGGTTATGTACTGAATTATTATTATTATTATTATTAATTGTCCCTTGGGTTCCTAGTGGAAAATAGGGCTCAGTAGCACGCCTCCACTGCACTCTGTTCTCCGAAATATTTTGAACCTGGCTCCACAACTACCTACAAGCCCTCATTTCTTCCTCACATTATCTCCTCCATGTCATCCTCGCCTCGGACGCCCTACTTGTCGCTTCTCATCGGGATTCGACTCGAGGGCCAGGCCTGGTGCGTGGTGTCTACAGTCAGCCTTCTTAGTGTATGCCCAATCCACCTCCACTTCCTCCTGCATACTTGTTGAGCGATAGGTTCTCGGTTGGTTAGTTGCCAGAGTTTCTTGTTGCTTATTCTTTCTGGCTATCTGAGCTTCAGTAACGAGCCAGCGTAGGCAGTTGTTGATGCATGTCTGTAGTTTGTTGAAAACGCTTTTCGTAACGCGCCAAGTCTCTCAATCATATAGAAGCACTGACTTGATTGGCACTAGTGTTCAAAATTCGGATCTTGTTCCACATGCTGAGCGCAGATTTCCACACTGGTTTCAGGCTAACGAACGCCTGTCTTGCTTTTCCGATCCTGACTGGCTTTGACATCCTCGTCTGTGCCGCCACCTGTAGTTAAAACGATGCTGCCTAGATAGGTGAAGGAGGTTACTTCCTTTAAGTTTCTCCCCTTCATGGTGATTGGAGTTTGTTGTTGTTGGTGGTGTTGTTGGTTGGGTATCTTAATCACCTCTGTCTTCCCTACATTCACTTGAAGTCCCGTCTTCGCTGCCCTGTCCTACCCGCCTCTTCTGCCAACTTGTCAGTTTTCAACTGGTAGATGTTTGAGTTTGTGCGACATTAGACACAAGTCATCGGCGAAATCCAAATCTTCTAGGTTCTTTTCCGAAGTCCAGCGTATCCCCCTCTTTTCACTCCCCACTGTTTGCTGCACGATCTAGTCCACGACAATCAGGAATATCATCGGTGATAGTAGACAGTCTTGTCTCACTCCTGTCTTCACTTCAAAAGTATCACTGAGCTTCCCATTGTGAATTACTTGGCTGGTATGTGGCGTCTCCATATAGTTGTTGAATGAGATTGATAAAGGTTTGTGGCACTGAAACCGTTTTGTTGAAGCAACTGCCTGTCAAATTACTTCTCAATCGACGCTGTCAAAGGCCTTCTCAAAGTCGATGAAGTTGAGGTGTAGAGTTGACTGCCATTCTATACTCTGTTCTATGATGATGCCTAGCGTTGCAATTTGGTCCACACATGATTTGTACTTCCTGAATCCAGCTAGCCTGTTCCGGTCGTAGTTTTGAATCCAGCGTATCCTTTAGCTTATCCAGGAAGGTGCGGCTTAGTATTTTGTTTGTGGTGGACAGGAGCGTGATTCAGCGCTAGTTCTTGCAAAGACTTAGGTCGCCCTTCTTCAGGTAGCTCTTCTTACAATCGCCAGGCACCTTCCCTTCCTTCCTTCCAAACCTTCTGCAATAGAGGTGTGAGCATGTCCGCTGTTGTCTGTGCGTCTGTTTTCAGTGCTTCCGGTGGGATTCCACCTTGTCCTGCCGCTTTCCCGCTTTTCAGTAGCTTCATGGCGCCCAGGACTTCAACCTTTGTTGAAGGATATGTGTTCACTGGTAGTTCTGTGGCTGCAGATGGCATTTCTAGATGAAGTGCGGGTGGTGGTCGATTGAAAAGCATTTCGAAGTAGTCAGCTCATCGTTCCCTTTGTTCCTCTTCTTTGGTAATAAAATTTCCTTCATCATCTATTATTGGTTTCATCTGTGTTGATCTCTTCCAAGATAGCAACCTGGTTATTTGATACAATGTTGCCAGGTCTCTCTTACCTGCACCCTGTTCTGCTTCACTTGCCAATGTGTCGTAGGAGTGTCTTTTGTCTTTCCGCGCACTCTTCTTCACTTCTTTTTCTAGCGTTCTATACACTGCACTCAGTTCCTCTTCTCGTTGTGCATCCTTGCACTGCACTGGGTCATCTTCTGCTTCACCATTCTCCTCTCCCTACTGTATCAGCTTCCATGTGTCCGTCGAGATCCATTTTATCTTATTCTTCTTCCTTCTTAACACGGTTATGCAGGTTTCTTTCCACATAGCTTTCAAAGAGTTCCAGTGTTCATCTACACAGGTTTCTTCAGGGATGTTCCTCGATATCTCCCATTTTGTTTCGATGGCTGAAGTGAAGATTTCCTTTGTAGTTTC